AGAGAGAGAGAGAGAGAGAGAGAGAGAGAGAGAGAGAGAGAGAGAGAGAGAGAGACTGGTCAAATGGTCTAATCATGTAGTAGCTTCTTACTTTGACAGACCTCTCTAACCGAGCCCTAGCTGTTTCAGAGCTAAAAGAGGGACCAGATGCTAATGGCCTGTTGGGATATAGAAAGGAACAAAGGGTCAAGCCTCTCATTTAACCAGGCATTATACCTCATAAGTTTGATATTGGCTTGTTTTGAACCTGAGGAGGAAGGACAAAGGGGAGGTCAGGTTAAGGATAGGAGATGATGTAAGGTGGCAATATCATCATTCCTGTTGAATGCCTAGAGTTCCCTGGAGGAAGGCTTAAAACTATGGAGAGGAACCATTACCTGTAGGGAGCAGTGATTCTGAGAGCAATGTCTAAGACATATCCTTTGTTTCTTTCAGAAAACCTGGTTTGGTCAGCCAGAGACTGTCTGGAATGGATACCCTAAGCAGGTGAGCAGTCCCTGGACAATGGCAAGTGCCAGATTTGTCCACTGAAACAAGTCCTAGGAACAAAGATGATCATGATTATGATGAAAGCTAGCATTTGTATAGTACTTACAGTTTGGCAAAGCACTTTACAAATATCTCATTTGATTCTCACAACAACTCTGAGGGAGTTGCTATGATTATCCTCATTTTACAGATGAGGAAACTGAGGCAGACAGAAGTTAAATGGCTTGCCCAAGGTCACACAGCTAGTAAGTATCTGAGGCCTAGCAAGGTCTCCCTGGGTCCAGGTCTAGTGCACCATCCATTTTGTTCCCTATTGATCAAAATTGAACATAAGTGCTGCATCCTCTCCCCTTCTTCCTAACCCTCCTCTAAACTTTCAGAATCACAGAATCTCAACAATGGAAAGAACCAGAGAGGCTGGCTGGCCTAGTCCATAACTGAACAAAATTTCCTCCATAATTACTCAAAAAAAAGTGATTGCATTGCCTTTACTTGAAGTTCTCCAGAGCAAACATTTTTACTTTCCAAGGCAGCCCAGTCCACTCTGGAACAACTCTCTTTGGTAGGAAGTTTGGTTTTCTATCAAACATACATCTGGCCCTCTCTAGCTTTTATCCATTGAGGCTACTTCTTCCCTCTGGGACCACCTTCCATATAATGGCCCTTCAAGCATTTGGAGATATTAACCATGTCTTCCTTTTATTTTATTTTCTCCAAGCTAACCATATTCAATTTTTTTTAATAAATCCTGATCTCAAGGCCCATAACTATCCTGATTATTCTCCTTTACATCCTTCTCCAGTTTTTCCAATGTCTTTCCTAAAATATGGCACCCAGAACATAAACACTGTATTCAAATCAGACTGAAATTCTTTCCCTTCTGGAAATTGATTGTCTTGGGCATTATCTATGAAGTTGTCCCAATTCTTTTCTTTTCTTCTTGAAGAAGAAAACCACACCAACCCCTTCACACATCCTGACTCAGCTAAGGACCTTGTCCCATACTTTACTGAGAAAAGAGGCCATTTTCCACGAGCTCCCTCTTTTCCCTTTGTCCACATCTCAAAATCCCTTGACCTCATCCCCTTTTTTCTCTTCTATACATCTCTGATGAAGAGATAGCTCTTCTCAGCAAGGGCAACCCCTCTCAGAGTCTCTTGATTTCATTACCTCCTATCTCCTTCAAGAAATTGCTCCATAATTATGTGCAAAAGGACCTACTTAATGCTGAATATTATTCCTCTCATAATTCAGACATATTGAATTAATTCATTTGGTTGCCTCATTACATTGCTAATTGATATTGAGTTTGCACACACTAAAACCTTTAGATATTTGTTAGATTGATACCAATTTATACCTAACCATCTCCATCCTATATTGTACTGGTGAAATTGATTTTTTTTAAACTTTCATGTTTTAACTTTTAAGACTTTATGGTTACCCCTCATAAATTTCATCTTATTAGTTTTATCTAGATATCCTAGACCATGAAGATGTCTTTGGATCTTGTCATCAAGTTGGCTAGCTATCCCTCTGGCTTGGTGTCATCTGAAATTTTGTCAACTTGTCATCTGTGCCTTTATCCAAGCCATTGATAAAAAATTTTATGCTAAAGAGCACAGGGCCAAGCATTGATCCTGGGATGTCTCAATGGAAGCCTCCTTCCTAGTCACTGTCAAACTGTAACTAAATGACTGTATGGCCATTCAACCATCTCTGAATCTACCTAACTATACCATTTAGTAATTAACATCTTTTATCTTTTCTACAAGAATATCCTGAGAGATTTTGTCAAATGCTTGACTAACATTTAGGTCAACCCTGCAGCATTTCCCTAACTTTCCAATTTCTTTACTTCTTCAGGAAAAAAAAAGTAAGGGTAGTTGTTATGTTCTGTAACTTCAAATATGCCCTCATTGCAATCTCCTTCTTGCAACTGATTATCTTGGACATTCTCCAGAGCAGCTGTCCTGATTCTTCTTTCCTCTCTTTGAGCTGCCCACACCACCTTCTCTACATATCCTGACTCAGAGGAGGACTTTGTCCCATATCTTACTGAGAAAAGAGGCCATTCACCATGAGCTTCCTCTTCTTCCCTTGGCCATATCTCAAAACCCCTTCACATCATCCCCCATTTTCTGCTCTATATGTCTCTAATAAAGAGATAGGCTTTCTCACCAAGGCCAATGCCTCTCCAGGTTCTTTTGATCTCATCCCCTTTTTCTCCTTCAAAAAACTCTTCCCTAATTATCTACAATCTTTCCCTATCTCCTGGCTCTTTCTCCATGCCTACAAACATATTGAAAAACATTCCTTCATTAAGAAACTATCATTAGACTCTATAATCCCCTCAAACTACTTTCAGTTCTCTCCAGTCCTTTGTAATCTGGTATCTGACCTCATTACTCAATTGCACTGTTGTATCCAAAGTCACCAGTAGCCTTTTAATTACCAAATTTAATGGTCTTTTTTTTTTAATCTGCATCTTTCTTAACAACAACCTTTGAAATTATTGACCATCCTCTCTTCCTGGATGTTCTCTCCTCCCTGGGTTTTTGTGGCATTGTTCTCTCAATAATGGTAGCAATAATAATAGCATTTAGGCAATACTTCAAAGTTTGCAAAGGGCTCAACTTATGTTATCTCATTTGATCATCTCAACGAGCCAGAAAAGTAGGTACTATTATCATCCTCATTTTGCAGATGAATAAACTGATGTTGAAAGAGATTGTGACATCCCCAGGATCACACAGTAAGCAAGTATCAAAAGCAGAATTTGAATTCAGGGTTTCATAACTCCAAGTTCAGCATTTTATCCGTTGGCCATCTAACTGCCTTGTTTTTCCTACTGACTGTCTTACTCTTCCACCTCAGTTTCTTTTCTTGACTTATCAGCCATGTCACACCCCTTATCTCTAAGGTTCTGTGTTGGGCCCTCTTCTCTCTCTACATTCTCTCTCTTGCTGGCTAGGTGATGCAGTGTATAGCATTCTGGACTCGGGAATTCAGAAAGACCTGAGTCCAAATCCTGTCTCAGACATTTCCTAGCTGTGTGACCCTGGACAAGTCAGTTAGTCCTGTTTCCATTTGGAGAAATGCAGATAATTGTAGCACCTACTGCCTAGGGTTGTTAGCAGGCTTAAGTGAGATCACATATGTAAAGTGCTTTGCAAATCTTAAAGTATTATATAAATGTCAGTTGTTATTATTATTATTATTATTATTATTATTATATTGGTGTACTTCATCAGTGCCTTGGGTTTAATCATCACCTCTATGCTGATGACTCCTAGATCTGTACAACTAGCTCTAGTTTCTCTTTCCCAAGCTTTAATCACACATCTCCAACTGCCTTTTGGACCTTTCATGCTGGATCACCTGCATGCAACTCACACTCAACATATCTAAAGCACAACTTATTATCTTTACCTCAAAACCAATCTGTCTTCCAGACTTCCCTGTTCTGCTGAGAACAACCCTATCCTTCCAAATGAGGTTTGCAATTTCATGTGGCAGTCATTCTCAATACTTCCTTTTCCCTCCCTCATATCCAATCAGTTCCTAAATCTCATTTCTACCTCCCCAACACCTATCACATCTGTTCCCTTCTCTCACTCACACAGCCACAGGCCCTAATCACCTTCACCTCTGACCTAGATTATTGCATTAGCCTCCTCATTGACCCCCCTGCCTTAAATTCACCTCCATTCCAATCCATCCTACATGAACTTTGGAGGCAAGATGATAGAGAGAAGTCAGAAAGTTGCCTGAGTTCTCATCAGTTTCCCTTGGAAACAACATTAAACCAAGACTAAATGGATTCTGGAGTGACAGAACTCACAAAAGGCCAGAGTGAAACAATTTCCCAGCTTAAAATAACTTAGAAAGACTTCAGAAAAGGTCTGTCTCCCTTGGGTAAAATGGGATTACAACACAGGGCAGATAGCATTTGGGAAAGCCAGCAGAAGGCTCTTAGTCATAGTGCAGATCAGCAACCAAGGCCCCCTGGTCCTGGCTCAGCAGGGTAGTGACACAGCAGGCTACCTCTGAGGCCTCAAGTCCCAGTGCAGAAGACAAAATGTCAGCACAGAACCCTGGCAAAAAAGGCACAACTAGGTGGGGCCACCCTGGTGCAATGGGCAAGCCACCAGCACCTGAGGCCCTGGGGCAGGAAGGCAGTGACCAGGACCCTGGCTGTCACCACAAGAAGCTTGGGACAGTGACCCTTGCACCCCAGGAACAGAGCTCAACCTTCAAAAAATGAGCAGAAACAAAAAACAAAACAAAACAAAACAAAACAAAAACAAGAAGAGCCCTGAACATAGAAAGCTACTATGGTGACAGGGAAGATCAAAATACAAACTTAGAAGAGGGCAACAATGTCAAAATGCCTACATGTGAAGCCTCAAAGGGGAATATGAATTAGATTCAAGTCCAGACAGTCCTCTTGGAAGAATTCAAAAAGAATTTTAAAAATCAAGTAAGAGAGATGGACGAAAAATTGGGAAAAGAAATGAGAATTTGTGAGAGAATTATGAAAAAGAGTTAACAGCTTGGAAAAGGAAGAACAAAAATTGACTGAACAAAACAACTCCTTAAAAAAATAGAATTGGTCAAATGAGGAAAAAATCCACTGAAGAAAATAACTCCTTTAAAAGTAGAGTTGGGGGGGGCAGTTAGGTGGTGCAGTGGATAGAGCACCAGCCCTGAAGTCAGGAGGACCTGAGTTCAAATGTGGCCTCAGACCAAACTCTTGACACTTACTAGCTGTGTGACCTTGGGCAAATCACTTAATCCCAATTGCCTAAAAACAAAAAAACAAACCAAAAAAAAAAAAATAGAGTTGGCCAAATGGAAAAGGAGGCACAAAAGCTAACTGAAGAAAATAATTCCTTAAGAATTAGAATTGGGCAAGTGAGAGCTAATGTCCCTATGAGACATCAAGAATCACTCAAACAAAATAAAAAGAATGAAAAAATAGGAGAAAAATGTAA